ACTGGGAACTCCCTGATGCAGAAATCACTACATTTTTCATTTAACCTGAGCCGTTAACACATGGCTCCCATCATTAACTGAATCTCAAATCTATGCTATCAAAGCCCTCACCTTCAAAAACTTCAAGGTGATAAAGTAATAACCAGTATTTAGTTGCATCACTGGTCAGGTTTACTGCTTCTGCTGTTTTGGGTGAAGGTGGGTGGGATGAATTCCTGACCAAGTAATCAAGCAAGACCAGGGCACGTAGCAGATTCTTCCTGGTATGGAATCTAAAAAGCGCTTAACTAAAATGTGATGGACTCTAGTGAGGTCCTCCATCTGGAAAGTGAGGACCAGGACTTTTCTGGGTGTAACGTGTTTCTTGACCCGGAAGCACTCTACACATCTCTGCTAGACGATGGAAACAAGGCTTGGCTAGAAGGGCTTTAGGGTGGGACTTGGACATATGGATCCTCGTACAGAGAAACGGAAGGCTGAAGTTTATGGATTCCTGTGCTTAAACTGAAAATAAAGACAAACATAAGAGAGGGAGATGAGTTTTGAATGCAATTGGTATTCTCTTCACAGCAAAGTGGAGACTCGAGATACCAGTTCTGGCAGCTTTTCAGTGGTGTGAGCCGAATGCATTAGGAATAAATTAATGTGATTGTAGGTATGCTAAATAAAGTGGCAGAAGACAAATGCCTGCGCTGACAAGATACTAAACTGGCTATGGAAATAAAGTCCTATCTTGCAGTCTTTGATGTCATGAAAAACTTTTAACATTAAATAGGAGGTGCATGAGAAATGCAAAGCGAGATCCATTGGCTGTGTCCACAGGGTAAGTAATGGGTCATGCCAAAGTCACTCTTGCCATTGAAGTGCCAGTCACAAAATTGCTCCTAGAGACTCAGCAGAGCTGTCATTCCAGGAAGCTACAAAAAAGCACAATCTATCCTTCAAGGGATCAGTTAAATTTTGCCTGGGGACTTTATTCCACCTTTTAGTACTCTGAATCTGTTTGGAGGGTTTTTTTGTGGGTGATTTTTTTTCTTTTTTTTTTTTTCAAAATCTCACTATTGTGCTACTATTTGTCTCTGGGACATGCACAGAATAGGTAACTGACACCTGCACTGCAGGAAAAAAAGCCTGATGTTAGGGATTTTTTTTATTTCCAGTTGTGGAATGTTCCTGCCCTCTGGTTTTGCTAATCTGATGTGGTGGCATTTTCCCTGGTTTGTATTATTCCCATAAGAGGAAAAACTCAAGTGGTTTGAGAGAGACATTCTCTTCACTTCTCTGCCAAATTTACTCTGTTGGTTTGGGTTGGTTTTTTTTTTTAGTATAAAAGAGCACTTCACCACTTGATTTAACACTTATTATGTGGTTCTTTCCTGTTAAAATAGACGTGTTACAATGGAAGTCTCGTACCGCACAGATTTGAAGGAGATACTTCCTATTTCCCTGTAGTGAGTCACAGTGTTGATGTGCAGGGGGAAGATGGGGTCACCTACAGCCAGCAGTCCATCTGCAGTGCCTTCCCAGGCCAGCTGTGTGTGCTCCCCTTGGAAGGGACACCTCGTTCTGCCTCCTGGCAAGCCCTGGAACATCTCCGTGTGGGAGCCGGCATCGTGCCCTTGCTCCCAGCCCCACCTTGCACACAAACCCATGGCCAGCCCAAGAGGTTCTCATCCGAGTAGCCCTGCTGCGATTTTCTTTAGTGCTCGGGACGATTTCCTATGTTGTTCAAGTAATGGGTTGGTTTGAAGAAGAGCTTTTTAGGTCCCTAGGTCTTTTGCTCTTGACAGGGCTGGTTTCTGAGACAGCTGTTCCCCACTTAGCATGAATTAACACACGGTAAGTAGATGACCACTGAATGAAGTAGGGAATTGTTGCCCACCCTTAGTAAGGGTGACTCACTTCTAATTTAAATCAGCCTCGCTGGGGAACACTTTTGTAACCCCAGCCCAAGTTAAAACATATCTGATAATCTGTTTATATCAAAAAAAAGGTACTAGATTATGAAAAAAAAATCAGCTTGACAATTTCAACATAGTATGCTCTTCACTTGATGTATTTAAAAGTTGCTTCAGTGACAAGATTATATTGAAAATTTTAGAATATGAGAGTCTACAACTGTTTATAATTATGCTGTTGCATTATACTGTAATAAAAATGCCCTGATTCTTGTCATATCATAGGTCTTAACATTCTAAAGGTAAAATTGAAGCTAAATGAAACTATTCTGAAATAGGACAAAATATTGTAGGTTTTATGTTTGCTTGTTTGTTTTTTTTCTCATTCAGAATGGATTATTTTTTTCCCCAAATTGCCTGAAGAATAGGAATTCTAGATTGCATTTTGGAGAAGGAAAAATCAAGGTTTAATCTAGAGCATTCTACAATCACAAGTGAGGCAACGTGGGACAACAACATCAAGAATTAGGTCCTACACATCCTTCAACTACAAAGGAAGTGGGAAGGTAAGGAAAATTCTTACATGGCCAAGGTTTGAGTTTGACTTTAGGAGACTCCAATCAAAACGTACTTAAGACGATAAGACCCAATTGAAACAAGACTGAGTAAATAGTAAGCAGAAATTACTAGGGAAGGTTGCACGGAGTATAGATACCAGAACAGCTATAAAACTGGTATGGTCATATAAACTATTAAAAAAGCAAAAGTATAATACTTCCAAAGGAATTAATGGGTACTTTGATTTACGAGAAGATCAGGAAAATATATACTTTGTAAGTACTTTCTTTGCATCAGCCGTTCTCACAGAGGACTTTGAGGAATATTTACCCAAAATCTTTCCAAGCAATATTACCAGAGATCAAAAGAGCTTGGGAATTAGCACAGAGTAAGAAATGAAAGAGTAGAAAGATATAAAAGTCCCCAAACAACAACAACAACAAAAAAAAACACACAAAAAAAAAAGCTCAGGTGCTTGGAAGAAGAGCTGAGCTGCTGAGAAAATAAAAATGTCTGTTTAAAATTGTTTACTACACTGGAGGCCCAGGGAGTAATAAATCACTGTCTTTTAAGGAGTCACTAGGGATACTCACAGACCAATAAACCCTGTTTCTGTACCCAGCGAACATCTGCAGGCATAAAACGTGTAATTCAAAACAGAAACGACTAGAAAAAAATCTTCATAAAAGGAGCATCTTCTTGCCTCTAATGGGCAAGGATTATCTGAATATGTAAAGGAAAAATGGGAATCAGTTGATGTGATGTATTCAGAATTAGAATTGTCTAGATTGGGAGGGACCTTTAAGATCATCGAGTCTAAAGAGTTATAAGGTGCATCTTTGCACACTGTAATACAAACTTTGTGGATGACTTGCTTAGCTCAAAGTAAAGCCCTTACAAGAAATAGCATTAATTAGCTCAAAAGCAAACCTGTGCAGGAAAGAGCATTAATTGGCTGCTGCTGGCAGGTGCGGGAGGAGGGTGGGCTTGCCCTGCCTTGGTGTGACCCCGTGGCGGAGGCATAACCGCAGTGCCAGCACCTGCCATTTCATAGCGTGGTGTCCTCAGCCTTTGGGAAATGCAGCAGCATCTCATACACGTTCAAAGCAAAGGGCAAGCTCCTGTCTGATTCCAGTGTTTCTTTCATCACAGCAGGTGATGAAACGGAGAACGGGCTGCTCAGAGATGGTACACCAAGGCATGTGCGTGCTGCAGTTAACGAAGTGAAGTCACTCAGTCATTCCAAAGCATTTGAATTCATTTTCTTTATCCTAAAGAAAACTGTAATGCAGCAATAGGCAAAGCAAAATATAGCAGTTGAAATGCTGTAGCGGACAGAGTCTCTTGGGCTAAAAGACTGATGTTCTTTGTTAGTCTCCCTACAAAACAATTTACACTAGTAGGCATTAGCAACCAGTCTGTTTATGTGGATAACACTGTGCAAGAAAATAGTGCCAACAACTTCAGCCAGTTTTATTAGTCTGAACATGCATAGCTAAATCTCTAAGTGACTGATGTTCTTCCTCCTTGACTGTTCAACAGAACATTCTCTTCCATTTCTAAATTATTCTCATTTCTAATGAGTTGTGCAGTATTTAGAAACGAGCAGGATTGAGACCTGTGTGGTTCCGTAGCTGCAATGGAAAAGTGAATTCCAGTTAGATATTGCTGTAGTGTAGCAACTGCGCTCCCTTACATTCTGATGGGTAAACTGGAATATGTTATGCTGCTAAACTGATAAAGGTTGAGACTAGAATAAAACAGGTCTTTGATTTTTATTTTTTTCTTCATGAATTTTTGTCAGACTCACTATCAGGATTGGCATTGTGCAGCTTTGTGATGCTCAGTTTGATTCATTCAAAGGTAAGTCAAATTTTCATTTAAAATTGTGCCTGAGAGGTCACTTACATATTCATTTGCCATTCCCTCAGTAGATCTGAATGTACTTGCCTCATAAATTCATAAAGTATGTGATAATCTACATGCTGTACTGCATCAGGAAAGCCAAATCTCTTTCTTTCTTCCTCTTGCCACTATTGGCCTTTATGAAGCTTGCTGAACATCCTACAGTGAGGTCTGATGCCCCCCTCAAGTGCCCCCTGGAATGGCTGCCTTGGGACAGGAGTTTGGGGCCACAGTCACAAAAACATCCATGCTGCACCGCGGGACAGGGTGGGTCCCATGCCAAACTGGTCCCAGTGCCAAAGTGAAGAGACAACTGGGGGAGAGCAACCACACAAGGGTTAATGGTATATTAAGGGCTTCTGAGCTTACGTTTGAAGAAGTTGAGACATCTTTTTTTGGCTCCAAGATGTGTCGAGGCACTTCTTGGACTTTGAGAGCAGGTGAATCCATTTCTGGTGCTTTGTTTGTGCCACATACACAACCGAGATGGTTTCCAAAAGCTGATAAATCATGCAGATTTGTAAATTGCAACAAATTATTAGTGATAGTCTATCACTGGAGGTAATAATTAAATAACTGCATTTATAGACTTTAAAATACTTTCAAGTAAACTGAGAACAAATTGAAAAATCACACACATCAATTTGAAGAACTTTATCCAAAAACACAGTTGCCATCTGATATTAACAAAACTTGTCGTTTTCACCATAGTAAAAGGAGGAACCAGTACTAAGTACACACATAGTGAAAGCAGTCAATAACCAGAAAAGAATTAACAGGAACTTAAAAGAATACATTTAATACATTTCTGTTAACTAAGCTTGCTAATTACAGTAAACTTAGAGAAAACAGGGCATTTTTTAAAGTTGTTTTTCTCTTTACAGACAGAGATCCACATCTCAGAAATGATCATTACAAGAGTAAAGGTTTTTCTTTAAACCAACCCATGTATTACAAAAACAATACAGAGAGGCTCTGCAAACCTGTTAGTGCACAAACCAGGGCAGCAGAGAGAAAGCACAAGAGAATTAAATTGTCAAAGAATATTAAGAAAAATAACAGTGCATACTGAAGGGCTCCTGTAAAGCTGTTTCACATGAGCTGAAGGATGTTATTTCCATGACTGTGATTTTTTTGTGATGTACAGATGCTTTCAGAAGTGTCGCTATTTAGCATACTTTGGAAAAAGCCCAACAAGTAGGCAATATTTGAGATAACTGCAAAACAAATGTTACAGGCTACCTCACACAGCTAGCTACTGGATTTATTTACATTATTTCATAATTTCACTGGGGTTTTGCACTCCACTCCTAAACTTTGTAACTTCAGAACTGAAAGAAGTCTTAGAGAAAGAAAAATATTTCTTAGGTTAGGTGCTCAGATAATAGAAAAAATAGTGCAACTGTTTGCTCTGTTATATACCCTTTCAGCATATCTATCAAAATACTCAGACTTGTTTTTTATTACCTTCTCATTTAAAAAAATACAGCATTCTGCTTTCTTTCTTTGTTTTGATTAGGAAATTGCGGACGTCTTTAGATATATTTAAAATAAAATGCCAGCAACCCAGAGCTAGTCCTGCAAGTTGATCCACTTAAAGCAGACGTCAGAAGTACTGAAGTGTTATTAATCCAGTTGACTCCAGGTGGAGGCAAAGGTCCCTCTGGATAGAGGAGCTCGCAGCCTTGGGAACTTCAATTACCCTTATGAAGGCAGTAACTGAAAAGAGTTTTAGGCCTAGATCTGTAAACAGTTCAATCTTACTCGCTCATTAGTGGGACTCTTCTGCTTGGGGGAAACACTTTGTGGTTTGCTGAGGCAGATATTGAATATCTTCCTGCAGGAAGAGACCTCATACCACTCATCTTTGAACTTACTGGGGTAAGTCCTTACTTACCAATGGCCATAACTTACTGTCAGTGACGGTCAGTCAAGGAGGTGGTTAAAAAGGGCTGAAGAACATTGCTGGCTTCCAAAGCTCACATGCTCTGATACCAGGGAATGAAAAGAATATGGAGAAGATAATGGTAGAAATAAAATGAAGGCATAGAGACAGGTATGGCTACGAGTTCACATCAGGGTACTTTGGGGAGGAATGAGGAATGATGCAGCCTAAAGTATCAGGTAGTGCCTCGTAAGAAGTGACCTGTCTCTGTTCTCAGCCTTTCTAAAGTCTGGGTAACAGTAAGATCCTCTTTGAGACCTACTGGCACAAAGAAGTAGATTAAAATGAGTTGATGCTGATGTACAGATGATACTTGACTCATTATGCTTAAGAAACCTAGGGGTTTGGTTTTTTTGCTTTCACAGGCAGACTACGCAGAGCTCTGGAAGGTAAATCTTTTATGTATTCTATCAACAAGGGAAGCTTTTTGAGTATTCTCTACAACTGAAAAACATTTTCCCTAGCAGCCTGCACAGGAAAGACAAGAATGGTGGCACAATGCTCTCAAGACTTCCCAAAATGATGGAGACTCATTTGTGCTTACGTTAAAGGGTGTTTGCCTTGGTACCGGCAGATCAAGTCCACCTACGACACTCAGCCAAACCCACCTTCAGAGGCATGTCATCGAGATGATGAGGTATGTGACGGGTTTGTGATATCAGGGTTGTTTTCTTTTCCAGTTCCTGACTGTGTTGCTGTAATTCCCAAAACAGGTTACTGCAATAGTAGGTCTGGTCATGTTGTCTCAGTGTAAATACTCTGGTACAGGCCAGAATGAGATAAATTGCCATGGATTTTGTTCTGCAAAGGCATATATTGTTCTGGAGTTTGCTGGGTAGACAACTGGACACTTTCCTCCTCCTTTGCACTTGAAGGGCCAAAAACTAACATAGGATGTGATTTGCCCCTAGCTGTTAGGAATTTCCTATGTGTCCAGAAAATAGCATGGTGATGACTTCACTTTCACTGTTTTGAGTTGGAAAGATGAGGTAAAAGGCAAAGAGAGGCTGTATGAGAAAACACAAAAAGTTAGTGTCAGATCAAAGGCAGTAGAAGAGTTCAAGGACTCAGGATGCTTTGATTTCTTTAGGATGTTCCCAGATCAGGGGCAATTCTCAATTCTCTACCTGTTAAAACATTCCTATCTTTACCTCATGGGTGCCAGTTTACCAAGAACAATATACCCTAGCACAATATCGATCTCTGGCTCTGCTGCTGCAAATGGAATAAATGCACTTGTTTCCCTGAGGATTAGCAAACTGCAAGATGATGAGGGACGTGGCGTACCTGGTGGTTAGTGCACTTAAACTCAGCTCAGGTTGCACGTCCAGGAAGGCAGCAGGGCTCAGGGGGCGCAGAGCAGGAGTTAATGAAGCGCTCAGCTCTGCCTGTCAGAACCCTGATGTCTGACATAACCACCAGGGACCTGACTGCCCTTTTTCCTTCTGCGCATTAACCAGATGAAATCCAATTCTCCAGAGCTCGGAATGCTCTAACAGCACAAAATCATTTTGATCTGGGATTATGATTATTGGCCTATTTCTCCGAATAATGGAAACCATCCTTAAAAAGAGTAATTTTCCAGATTTTGCTCTGTGATTAGCCACAGGAAACCCAGTAAAATCACATCAGTTAGAGAGAGCTATGTGAAATTAACAACTCTCAGCAGACTGCAGAGAAAGGTGAAGATATTAAGAACTGGAATTGTTTGAGAACTGCAAAATGAAAGCTTTTCCCTTTATCTTCAAATGGATGTACATGATAAGACTATAATGGCTGGCTCTTCATTTCACTTTTGATTTGGCACTTGTTATTACAGTCTGCTCAGCAGTTTGGTGGGATGCTGATGTCCTCAAGTCCCATTGCAAGACAGGGATTTTGGAGAAGAGATCTCATTACTTCTGAGGTATCTATCAGCTTGCTTGCCCACTCAAATGGCTAAATACATTATTTGTAGCAGATGACCCTCTCTGCTACTATTGTTGCATCAAAATCTGTTGTTGGCACAGAAATACATCCTCCTTCCTCATTTTATTTTAGAGGGATGTTAATGCTGTGGACAAGCATAGACTCCTAGCGCTGCAGATAAAAATAAAGCAGCAGTAGCCATGTGGGTTTCCCTACCTCATTCTCTTATCTAATGTGCTTTGCACCCACCTCCATAACTGTTCAGCCTTCAGTCTCCTTGCTGTAATGGCTGCACAGCTGCGGTGTCGAGCTGTTGGCTGCTTAGAGAAAAAACATTCTTAAGAGACAGTTCAATTATTTGGTGTGTCGCTATTGATCCCTAGAGGCCATGGCTAGAAGAGATACGTTAGGGCATCCAGTTTGTCTACCCGCTTCCCATGGCTCATTAAGAACTCTGCAGAGCACATACAGTATTGCTTTGTGTGTTTGTACAATGCTGTTTGTTTACAACATAGGTAGGGGTCTAACGCTGCACACAGAAAGTGTTTTTCTTTGTCTACTACAGAGCAAACTCCAGTCAGGATCTTGTAACTTATCTGTGCTAGATGCTTTTATTTAAAGCCTAGTTCTTCTATAGATAGAATCCTGCTCTCATGCTGACACACAAAGTGCTCAGCAAAGCATAGAGCCGTCTTCTGCTTTTACAGAAGAGTTTCAGAGAACTGCTCTGGGGAATGCATTTGGGATTCCTCGTCACCCCTCAATGAGTGACAGCAGTTCCCAACTGCCTGGCTCCAAGGAAAGGAGAAGCTACAGTGCTCTTAAGTCAAGCTGCACTGACCATTCGGGGTATAACATATGCCCACATAAAGAAGTGGTAGCACATTTCACAAGACCACCATTCATCCACTTCTCCACTCCCCTCTGTGGCTTCTCTGAACTTAATGATGGATGAGTCCCCTTTTTCAATGCCTGAACTTAAACCTTCCCTAACCTTATAGAAGATGGAAGTGGCTGTATTGGATGAAGCCAGAATGCAACAACCAGAAACTTAGTGTGCATATTATCACTATCAAAGTAGATCAGAGTTTAAACCAGCTCTGGCCACTGCAATTTAAGGATCTTTAATACACCTGACAATATTCTCTACAGATTCTTGCATCTACATCCTTTTTTCCTCAGCAGAAAAGCTACGCAGCCAGTGTCTTTAACTATGAGACAGGAAATGCCTGCACTTGCTGCCTGTACCGTTTGCCATGTCACCCTGTCAAGCCAATTACTTTAATTAAAGTTCTATCTGGACCTTCTTGACAACTCTGCCTCTAACGATGAAAATACGTATGAGGATGATCTGGATGAGGGAGGCAGAACTCGTTGTTTTCCCAACACTCCTGCTATTACTAGCAATTTTACATGAAAGTAGGGCACTTTCTTTGAGAAAAGCGACACAAAAGTGTCATTCAGTTTCATTAGCAGAGTGGTGGTTCTTTGCTGTTCCCACTCTAATGCTCTTCATGGGTGAAGAATTCAGTCCAGTGCTTTGGGAAAGAGGTACAAACATTGCTAATTGCCCTTGTATTAATATTCTAGGAAATTTAAACAAAGCACTCTGCTGGAAAAATTCGTTAAGCAGTACAATAATCCCATTGGGCAGGTACCATAGTGTCAAACTGATTTTACTCATGGTGGAAATGTTTTGCACTTCATGCAAAACCAGTGCTTGCAAGATCTGGCATAACTGGAGAGCCTACAGAAACACTGAAGTCCACAAGTAACCGGTACAATTATAAAGGCAATAGAATATCAGAAAATGGTTGGGGACAGCACATTACATTAAGTAATATTTCCATGGGTCCTACGTGTTCATACACCAGACCTTGTTCATTTCTGCATTGGAAACTCCTCTGCAGCCTTCCATCCTCAATTAATAGATTGCTTTCTGTTCAGTGAGAATAAGGAGTGAAATTTACATAACTCCCCTGTTTTTTATTATCCTCTGCCTGTGAAGGCATGAATAGCTACTTCAGGACAGTGAAAAATATCATTTTTGTATCATTTTTAAGACTGCAGCTATTTTATTAGAAAAATTTGCCTCCTGTCCTACTGATCCTCCAGAACTTGCCTGCTCAAACTTTCTGCTAGCATAGATCTTGCCTGTCCTCAACCATCTTCACAAAATTTTGTGTCCAAACAGGAAAATAACTACACATCCGGAAGCTCAGCTCCTCAAGTGCATTGTCATCCTCAAGACAACTCAGTTTCTCTTCTATCCCCCTGCTAGCTCTGTTTGCATCTTTCCCAGCTGTAAAGGCAGTTCATGGAGAGGGAAAATACTCTACACAGTGACTTTTGAGTGGTTATAAATACTGATTTGGGGCATGCTGCTTTGATTCAAGTAACTGTCCACCAGCCCTGCAGGAAAATGGGTTTAAAGAAAACAGAAGAAAATCCAAACCTCTCTATACATTCAGCAGCTCTTAGTCCAGCCTCAAGCTCTGTGGCAGGCAAGTGTCAAAAATAGTCTCTGTGCCTGCAGACAAGGTTTTCTGAAATTAGGGTAGTAGCTGTATGGCACAGAAAACCTATACAGTACATGCAGACGTAGAGGAAGAATTTGCCTGCTACTCTCAAATGTGCAGACATTTTGTGTATTTGTGTTTGTTTTTTTTTAAGAGGGATATTTCCAACAGAGGTGATTAATTTTTTTATCATCCCTTGAGATTTTATCATCTCTGCAACAAGGAAAGCTACAGCTTGTTTTGAAAAGATACAGTTCTTGAAAAGGAACTGCTCATGGAACAATGCAGTGAGAATGCTGTTGCTCAACAGAACAAATCCAAATGATAATCGGAGTTGCTACCTAAAGCAGGCTATATAAAAAGCACTTTCAGGAACCTCATCACAACCCAGAGACATTGATAATTAAATATAAGCACTTGCATGTCTGTCACTTACTACCTTTTTTTTGGTGCTGTTTCTACCCCACCACATACCTGATCCTTGCACTCACTCCCTCATGAGCACAGAATTGTCCGGTCTTGCTTTCAATTCTATTTTTCTCATAGACATCAATCGCTGTTAATTAGGCTCCTCCTCCTGCAAACAGGTTTAGCATCAATACACAGATTATCATATCCAGTAACTGATACTGGAAGGCAAGTGTTAGAAAGCATGCATCTGTCTGTCATAGCTCTAAGACTCACGATTCAAACACAGCCTAGTGTATGCACGTGCTCAGGACTCACACACGATGAACTCGTACTTCATCAGAACCGAGCCAATGCCCACCATTTAGTCCACCTGGAAAACTAAGATGTCCAGCAAGTATGACACAGAACCATTTCAAACAACATTATACCACAGTAAAAAATGCACACAAAGAAAAAAGCTGACAAAATGCAGAAGAGCTGCTAGAAAAATCTAAACAGTAGAAAATAAGCACTTTCTATATAAAACCCACTTTCTCTTTGTATTTACTATACCCACATTTATCTCTCTTTTATTACATTTCTATACAAAACTGGTATTGGCTCCGTTCTCAATGAAAGCTCTCACCTCCATACAATTAGCAATTGCACCACACTTTCTGCTATCAAGAATCAAGATGGTTAACTTGCATTTCGTTTCCATGATTGTGGCAGCACTTTATCAACAAAGTCCCTACCTATATGTATTTATATAGATATAAATGTATATATACACACATACATACATACGTACACATGACAAATAATTTTGCAGTTTTCCTCTCTTCCAGTGTTTGGAGGGACAGTCATCCTAGAAGGTGAAGGCATACACCACTCCCACAACCACGATATTTCCAATGGTTGCTATTATCGCAATCCATAACAATATGGCGTCATTTGACGAACGGGATGTCTCTTCTGGTGGATTCTGCATGGAAGAAGCTGCATGGACGTTGGCTGATGAGTTAAACAAGGAGTACTCTGTGCTAAAGTCCTCGTTGGGTGAGTCCATGAAGGCTCCTCCCATAACAGGAAGCTGTGAAGAAAGATACAGCAAGATTAGATTGCAGACCAATACCTGTATTTACTTTGTCTCAAAGTCATTACAAAAGACTAACCACTAAAAATTAGTCAGATGTCATGTACACAGTGCTCATCTGTCAGTAATACCACAGACACATTACATTATTTCTTCCATTTCTGTTAGAATCAATATTATCACAGAAAACTTAAGTCTATTCCATGTAACATATATAGGAGCCAGCATGCAGGCTCCAAGTCAGCCAAAGTAATTAGAGGCATTTAAAAAGAAGAGATACAGCTATCCACAAGGCACTCACATACTAGAATGGAAGTTTACAGCAATATGATCGTTTTGTGACTACTGGCAATGGTATCATACTGCTGTAAGGCATCCAGCAAGCACAGTGAGGATGCGATGCTGAGAATTTGTCCTCCTGTTATTTATCACTCAGAAGTGAACACCTGCATTATGTAGAGATTATGCAAAAACATACGAACTGCAGAAGTTCTTACTGTAAAACAGGTGGAATGTACTCATTGCACTAACTTCACTTGCCAAACATACCATTCCATAGGATTTCCAACACTTCTCCCACCCCGCTGGGTGGGACTTCCTCCTCCTGGGAAGGACAAAGTTTCTTTGGTGCTCTTAGTGGATTTCTCAGTGGTAGCAGGAAAAGTTCTCAGCAAGATAGCAGTTATTCAATGCAAGAATATGGACAAGTTAAAAAAAAATTAATCATTTAACCTTCTCCTTATACAGGTTCCAGTTGTCTTCCCAACTTCATTGTAGATCACAACACATATTCTTCGTGATTCAACAATCATTTTATCCTCTACATAGATGTATAAAATTACATCCTTCTGCAAATGTATGGATTCTTCATTCAGGCAAGAGAGGATACCTACTGCAGCACTAAGACCATCTATAAAAAAAAGGTTCACAGAAGAGCTTTTTGCTTCCTTCCTTATCCCTTGTATGTTTGGGAACACAGATCCGGAAGCGTTTCCCCTGGCTCACTGAGTGCAGGGGGGTTGGACTAGATGATTGTTTCAGAAAAACTGCAGACCATCTACTTCACCTATCTACAAATGCTCAGGACACACCCTTCTGAATATACTATAAAAAGCCAAAGATCTGCTCAGCAACTTCAGGAACTGCAACTGTTATGTACTGCAGAAGAGCACAAGCAGTGTGGGTATCATAAGGCCCCAAGTCTCTGCAGTACTCAGTAACCAAAACTCCCAGAGGATTGTAGTACGAAGGCAGACCAAACCCATGGCTGTACTGGAGGAAAAAAACTCAGACCCATATCTCCAAATCTCTCTTCCAGCCTGTCCAGAAAGGAAAAATTGCACCACAGTGTTGATGACCAGTTTGATCATGAGCAATAAGTAAAACCTAGACGTCGGTGCATCCTACCTCCACTCTTCTTTTAGATCTGGTAGACCTCCAGTTCTTCAAGGAAAGCTAAAAAAAGTCTGGGAATGTTCTCCGTAAGAAACACCCTTGCTGCAACACCAACCAACCTTTCCTTCCCCACAGTGGTTTCCATGCTGCTGCTGTCAAACAATCTCCTGTTTGACACCCTACTTGGACATGCTTTTGGGTTTTTGGCATTTTTCACCTTTCTCAATAGGGATTTCTTCTACAGCTGAAAGCCTCTGACTCGGTAACAACAAAACAAAAATTCCTCCTGCTATTATACTAGTAGTAGTACCATTGTAACTTCAATAGTATCGTTGATGTCACCACAGCCTTTGAGTCAGAGGAACCAGTCTTGTCTTCATTCAGCCACATCACAGAAGGCTGTTATCCCATCACCCCTGAATTACCATGCCCAATACTCACTGGGCTGAAAAATCAATCTCTTTTAATAACCTGTCCTTCAACGCCCACATCACATTTTGACTCTCCCAGTAACCCCTCCCTTTGGTACCAAACTACACCCATCCTGTTTGTGAACAGCTGTGCCATGGAGGCTGCTAAACAGGGCACGATTTGAGGATAAACCACCTCTCCTCTCCATAGTGGTGGCTGGAATCTACAGATTAGAACAAAAACTTTTTTTGCTTGCTATCTGTAACATTTTACTGAGCTACAGAAGGCAGACTCTCTTTCAAAGCTGAACAAATTTCATCTGTACCAGAAAATATCATGTCACATTCAAAATGAAACAGAGAATGATGAAAGACCACAATGGATATGTCATACTACCTAATCCACATTAAATAATATTATCTTTAAGATCAAATATGATTAGACAAAAGCAGTTTGCAAGAAACCAAACAGGAAATTGCAAAAGTCAAGTTAGATACATTCTCCCTGCATCAAAGATTTTTGCTGCCAGTTTCAACACAGAATATGTCTTAAAAATAGCAAAAGCTTCAATTTCACAACAAGCCCAGCTTGATGTTTTGAATCCAATTCCACCAGCCTTTTTTATGTCTTGGGATTTAATAAGGAAAACATTGCTCAGTTTAATCAGGATTTCTTTTTATGTAGAGATCGCTATGAAAGGCAAATCTGACTTCAAACAAGTGTATTTATGCAGCAATGCTGCCATTTTACAACTATGGAGACACTAATTTAAAGACCTTTGCAGCAAATGACAGGTGTATATTTACCATACTGGCAGCAAAATGCTCAATCTGAGGTGCTTGCCTCCTTGGCAAACCATTTTAAGGGTATCAGCATTTATAATTGTCAATTCTGCAAAATCTTTCAAATGGAACAACCATCCAAAATATAGAGGTACATAACCACGTGCAGTTGCCAAGACAGTGGGAGGTGATGAGCACTGCTCTGGTGAGCAATACCTGGTTTTTGGGCCACACATTCTGTGCCCTCAGTGAGTTATTTGGAGTGACAAGCTTCCACCCTGTTAGTCTGCCTGGTGCTGTCACGGAGGCAGGGAGCATTGGTGTAGCAGCACAGCTACACACCACACTGCAAATGATGTCAGGTCCGCATCTCCTCGTACCATCGCAGGCTCAAACAAGCTGTCTGCACCATCTGAGGGGAACACATGGTGAAACAGCTCATCTGAATCTCCAAAAGGCTTGCGGTGACCTGATATAAAGCACTGACATTCAGCACCTGGCACAGGCTCTTTCTGTAAAACTGACTTCCCGTTTTTCTGTTTGTAGGTCAGTAGCACTTCACCACAGATCTAGAAATAAACCTCACTGCCAACTTCCCGTTTGCAGAAATTTAGTAATCCTGATTACTAAATGCATATTCCCCCCTTCACGCTGCTAAAATAGGCTCACATAAGAGCGCCCGAATGACCATATGGTGTCAGACAGAATGTCCATCTCCCTTGCGTGTTAGCTCCAGCAGTGGCCATAAATAGATGCCTGGGGAAGAGTAAGAGCACAACAGGATGAGCGTATCTGATAGTGCCCCTTAACAACTCATTGCCTTCAACTGTTTTCAGCTTAGGAGATTCCTAAGCCGGATGCTATTGCAATGGATTTAATAACTGGCAAAGAACTTTGCGAGTGTGAACTTGTCCAGCCTCCACCTGAGCTCATCTAAAGCTGAGCATCCTTCTCAGTCTGGCCTCTTACTGCCACTTAACAGCCAGGGTTGCCCAGTGATTAGAGTCCCGTAAATCACCCTTGGGAGACACGCTCACCTCTCCGCTGGAGAGGGGGAAGCACGGATGATTAATATCAACTGGCAATCTATCTTTTTGGTAGATTAACTTCAGTGAGATGAATCTCATCCTCAGTCTTTATGTCTTTGTGCTCCCAAAAGGTACAGTATCTTCCCTCTGCAGTCTTGTTTGAGATATTACATTAAAGGCTGTGAGACACCCAGACGAGACACTAATGGGAGCTGGGAAGTGCCTGTGATAAGCAGCAGGCTAAGGACAGAAACCCTTTCTGTGCTTGCTCTGTTTCTGTCCGTGCCTCTACAAAGCAAATACACACCAAATTACATCAGCCACAAACTTCACCCATGTCAGTGCCATTACCCTGACCCGGAGCCTGTTTTAGCCTCGGTGGGTTTTCATAGTTCAGGCAAAGCTGTGCAGAGCTTGTGCCACCCTCCCCAAGACCTCTGGGCAAGGAGGCCAGAGCAAAGGGTTAACTGGGACAGGCGACAGCGAGGGATGTGGCAGCAGCAGATGGTGAGGAAGAATGCTGTAGCACTGCTTGGAAATGAAACTTTTCTCCTAGTGACTACGTCAATATTGTTAAGTAGCTCTAATAGTGCGTTCCTTGCTAAATGGCTTCTGGGACTGGTGAAGAAAGAATTCAAATCATTAAATAGCAACAGGCAGAAAAGCAAACAGCAAAATGTCAAGTGGTAATGAGAGCACCCACTGTGCTGAACACCTCCTGCTGACATCCAAGAGGGTGCTCCAGGGTCACAAGGAGAACAAGGCTCTTGAACAGTTAAGTGATGCACTTCCCAGACAGCAGAAAATCCCCATTCATGATTCACATGAAGGAAAAACGACACGTCAGGTACCAGCCACTGATACTCTAAAAAAGTTAGCTTTCTTAAGCAGCATCGCATAAAATCCACCACTTGGCAATAACATTGCTCCGTTTCTTTAGGAATCAGGTGTCCATCATTTTTTCATAGCCAGCTAGAGAAGTGTAACACTTAGTTCCTGCTACCTTATTGAGAACCCAGACTTGGCATCGAGATTTGAAAGCATAGCTGAATCTTCAAGTAGCCATTTTCCAGAAATTAGGAAACCTCAGCAGCAGCTTTAACACCTGTGCTGCATCTGGGCCCTGGCCTCACCACACACAGCTCTGGAAACAGGATGCTGAGAGGAGAAATGTCACCCCAGCTCAGATACTGTTTTGTAAAATCCCTGTTGCTACTTCTGATTTTTCAGTGTTTCTTTTTGGTTACATCTTAGATAGCATATTTTTACATAATGGCATATTCCGAAGACATAAAATGAAGTTGTTATTTTCTTCTGCCCTGGCAGCATGTGATCACTGCAGTGCATATTTGTGTCTGAAACCTTCCAGCTGCAATCACAA